AGGATGTAAGGAAGCTAGGCTGGCCAAACCACAGCCCAGGGGGCTAATGAAAGACCCAGCACCCCGGGACCAAAAACACTCTCTCTGGTGGCTTTATCTTCACAGGCCTGCGTTTTCAGCCTTCCAGTTATAGCATTCTACCTTAAAAAGGAAATGCCTCTGAGGAAGAAGCCAATTATCCGAGCCCCTTGGAGACAGTAGTATTTATCCCTCCTTCCAGCACCCGTCTGTAGGGAACCAGTGGGCGGTGGATGGTGCCTCCCTGGGCTCGAGCCAGGCCTGGTGAGCCAGCCCCTTTGTGCAACCCTGGCTGTCCCTTCCCCTTTGCAACCCATGGCGTCTTCTGTTACAGGAAGGCAGTAAATTGTGTGGCAAAGCTGGAAAGAAGCCAAGCTGTCCCAGTGCCCATCCCTCAGGCTCCAAGTCTCCTTGCCCTCCTCCACCTCCTCCCAGACCTCTCTTCTTGCTTCTCTGTCCACTCTTCCCATCTTATCTTGTCCCAGACATGAATTACCTCTGACCACGAGGGTGACTTGGACAGTCAGATGACCCATCCGCCTTGCTATCCTACCAGGGCCAGTGACTAAAAACATCGGTAAGAGGAGTTTCTCTCCCATACAGGAAACCTGCCTGTCAGCTGGGAAAAGTGTGCCGAAGTGGGTCATCGAGGAGAAGGGATCGAGGATCCAGAAAGGGCTTCAGGACCTCTGAAATCCTACTATCCATGCCTGCTCCTGCTCAGCCCCGGGCAAGCCCAATCTACCTATGGGCCCTTGGTGTTCTACTGATTCAATTTGTAAGCAAGATTTTACAAAATAACATTTTCTCATTTATTAAAAATTATATATGTAGTCTATATTGATTATTTTTAAAAATCAGAATATAGAAATAAGCAAAAAGAGAGAGAGAACATAAAATAAACTATAATCCGACTATCTTAAAATAACTAGTGTTTATTATTTTGGTATATTTTCCTAAATTTGTTTATTTTTTTTTCAAAAAGAATTGTATGGCATACTTTGTTTTATAAACTGATTTTCCACCTACCAAATCATAACTATCTTTCTACTCCTTTATTATTCTTCTACAACTTCATCTTTAATTTGCTGCAAAAGATCCCATAGTTTAAATGCACCACAGTATATAATGAGCAATTCCCACTGTTTTTCGCCCCAATTGTTTGCTCTTATGAACAGTGCTGCAATGAACATTCGTACATCTATACCTTTTCTGCTTGCTCAATTATTTCCTTTATGATAAACTTCTAGAAGTAAAACTGGTCAAAGGGCATGTGATGTTTTAGGCATTTAAGCTATTCTGCTAAATGATAAAAAATAAATTGTCTTCATAGAATTAGATCCCATCCCAGGAGTTTGTCAAAGGTGTGGGTCCCCTGTACTGGCCACATCTACACTGGGGTTGGGAGACAATGACCAGCAGAGCAGCAGAGAGGGACAGGGAACATAGAAAACACAATGTGAATTAAGCCATGTTAGAGATACAACCCATTAGATCAATACTGAGTGGTTGCTTCACTCAGTATAGTGATGCTTATGTGTTGAAACACTGTCTCCCTCACTTCTCACAATAAGTCCCCAAGGAGGTGGGATCACTTTTTTTAACTGAGGAAACTGAGGCTCAGAGAGGTTAAGATGCTGTGTCACATAGCTAGTAAAAGCAAAGCCAGAGCCAATGGAAACATCTGGGCTCTGAGGAACAGGGCCCTGCCACACCGTGAGAAAAGAAGGGCACTGACCTTGGGTCTGCTGCAGGGTGACTAGGACAGCCGTTCCCTTGTTCCTTACCTAATGCTCCCTGGCCACTGGCATAAACACATGTCACTCAGAGCCAAAAGGCAAGTTCCCAGGTGACCTTCCTTCGAACAGCTCTCTGAGAAAAGTTGGCTTGAAGGATTAGAATTCCAATTCAAATTATTTCCATGTGCAGTTGGTGGTGGGAGAAAGTGCTGACATTTGGGTCATTCCACTCACAGAGATCTGTGGTGTGCCCAGAATACGCCTAGACTCCTGCTAGCGTCGGCAGGGGATGTGCAGAGGAGCTTTAATGCTAAAGCTTCCAACAGAGGCTGAAAGAAATGACTAGAGACCATGAATTGTGGGCTGCTCATGTTATCCTTTGCACACGAATCAACGTTGTGTTTGATAGTATAATTGGAACCAACTAAACAAAAATCGGTGTCTGCAAAGCCAACATCAACTTTCTCCTGCCCTTCTCATGCTTTGGAGTACCTTAAGAATCTGATCCCTGTGTAGAAACATGTGTTCTATTGTTGAACGGTTGTTCCTACACCTGAGATGTAGCTTCCAGTTACAAGTCAGCTCAGGCAGAAATCCATGTGCGTACTTTGCCTAAGAGAAATATTCTTGTCACATAAGAATCCCCCATTAATCAAAAATCACATTATGGCTCCTGGAATGAAGTTTCCTTTACTACTCTTTAATAATAAGCCTGAGATAAGATAAAATTCGTAATTGCACGTTCTCTTCTGATGGGAGATAATATAAAAGTGGTATAGAAATTTGACTTAAAAGAGTATATTCACTTAGCTAATAGGCTTCCATTATGCGGTCTTTACTTATTCATTCATTATGATTTTTGCCACATATAGAAAACTTTAATTGAAAGTTACTTATTACATTGTTCCTGAGTGTTAGCAGCAGAGTAAAGTTTCAAATAATCAAAAAAGAATGAATGAATAGAAGCCCAGAATTTTATAGACAATGAAACCTGCTGAGTAGACCTCCTATACCAACCACAGGATCAGATATTAAGGACTCATTTCATATTGACAAAGCACAGTTTCTTCAGTGGAAAGTGCAATAAATGGATTATAAGTAATATAGTAATATATATATTTTATTTTATGGATCACCCATATTGCAGAAGGCAGTTGACCCTACAATGGGGCTACAGTCCACAGACAAGAGAGAACAATCAGAAATAAGGCTATCCTTCCATTTATAGGCTAAATAACAACAAGCTTTTGTGAGAGTTTTTTCCAGCTAACAAGTTATGCCTTAATTATCATCATTAATGCCTATTAATCAATTAAATCATATTTACAGTGCCAACATCAGCAAGCCAAACTCCAGTAGCACTTTCACAAGGGAATATTCCTGATCAAGATACAAAGGCCAACAAACATCTAACACAACTAATGGAATTGGAGTAGAAAATGCAGTGTGCCAGGGGTTCAGTGGTTCACATCAGCCCTTGTTGGAGCTCCGTCCTTCCCTGGGACACCCCCTCAAAGGTATAAAAACAGTACCAAGGCTGGGGCAGGAGGGCAGCATCTGTGATACAGAAAGAATGAGTAGCTTTGTGATTTGTGATTCTGAAGGGCCTTACTTATATTACAAAACAGAAGCATTTAAAGCAGAATTGTTTGTCCAAGTTGGTTCTTTAGCTTTTATGTTAACCACTAAAATGAGAATGTGTACATTTATCATTGAAAAGTATGTGTGTGCCTTGTTCAATCCAGGTTGCTGCTCTACAGAGAAAACTGACAGGCGCTCATCACCATCATCATCATCGCCATTTTAGATGCCAAACGCAAAAGGGTTATGCTCCCACACAGTGCTGCCCAGGTGATAAGTGGTAGAGCATGTCAGGAGCCCAGCCTTTCAAGGACTCCTGCCCTGCATCAGAGGTGCCAACTGCTTGAAGGGAACCAAGCAGAAAGTTCTCTCTAAACAATTGAATGACTCACATGAGGCTGAATGGAAATTGTGAATTAACTCTTCTCTTTGGATTTGAACAGTCACATATTAATAGAGTATAGATCCTTTTCCAGAGAAGAGGCTTGTGGAAAATACTTTCTCTTGCATCTGAAGTCTCTCTGTCCTTACAGGTCTCTTTAATAAAACCTTGGGAGATTGATAACACGAGATGGCAGCCATCCCTGTATAAATTATGGTGGCCTCTCCATTTCTCCCTTTCCAAATCATCACCATTAATTAAGAGCACACCAAACGGGGAATCCAGTGTTGTCACTGACTAGTGAAAAACTGCACCAAAATAGAGAAGTATCTCACTGAGGGTCCACAAGGCATGATTCCAGGAGCATGCATGGGAAAATCCAGCACAAAGCAAACTTAAGACGCTGAGGAGGGCCCACTAGCAACAATCAGAGATGATAGAGATCAATAAGCCCCAGCCAGAGCTCCTGGGACACTCTGGCCTCTGTTACTAATTCATTCAACAAACAGTGTTGAGTATCTTCCTGTACCAATCGAAGAAACCACAGTGAGTTTCCTTGAAGACCTCACAGTCTGGGGTTGCAGTTGGAGTGGGGTGGCAGACAAGTCATCAGAAGATTATAGACTAATCAGTGTGGGGGTCATACTCCATATGGGATGGGAGGAAACTCCAGAAGAGGGGACTTCGCCCAGATTGGGGGTGGATGTGGGAAGCCTCATCCATGGAGGAGGTGTTTGAGCCGAGTCTCGAATGACGGGTAGAGGCTATCCAGATGGTCAAAAGAAGGAAGGCCATTCCAGCAGGGGTCACAGTATGTGCAAATACAGTGTAGCTGGAGGGAGTTATTATGGGAGTAGTGGAGAACATAAAAAAAAAACATCTAAGTTCTCCAACAATTCCAGGAACCTACCCCACACTGGTAGAACACACCAGGACCCCATGAATGTTTACTGAGTGCAGCCATCATCAGAGCCATCATCAGAGCCCTGAACACTCAGATGCCGTGCATCTGCAGCCTGGTTCATGACTTGACACCAGAGAAATATCTCTATGAGCCCAGACCTGACGGTTTTACACTAGAGATCGCTGGAGAACTTCCTTAACTCCTCCCTTCCTCAGTTTCCTCATCTTGAAAATTGGATTAATAACCCCTGCTCTGAAAGATTTTGCTAAGTATTTAAAACACTGTCTATGAAACACCTGGAGCAAAGCAGAAGGCGCTCCATAAGTGTTAGCTTCCTTGTTGGTATTATGGGGGACCCTGGTGTACCATGATGATCTTGCAGCCTCACAGACTTCGCCATCCGTCACATATTTGCCTGATTTTGCGTTCACAGCAGATCTGTTGCATGGTAGTATTCATACCTGCAAAGACCCCTGAGATTGTGCTTTGCCCCATCAGGAGGCCGACCTCTCCTTCAATGCTCACAGAATACAGACAACACCTTTTCTCCTCTGGGCCCTATGCCCACATTATCCTGTGCTTTAAGAATGCACCTTCCATTTGTACTAGTTGGAGCCAAAAAAGAATTGCAAAGATAAGTCTATAAGAGGAAAAATGATATCGCTCTCCCAAATGCTGCGTTTGTTGTTTGGACTGACTGCACCACCTCCCTGCTTGATTTGAGTTGGTAGTTCTTGTTCTCGTACTTCTTTCTCCCTCAGGTGCTTCCGCTTTTACTTATCAGCTTTAGATTGTTTTCTGAGGTAAGAAAATTTATTTTATGGGTGAATGTTAATGCCCACTTTCACTAACTCTCCACTGCCACCTGCTAAATCTTTCAGTAGTGAGAGTCCCACCGCCACAGATCCCCCTTCGACCCAGGCAGACCAGGACCATTGGGCAGCCTTGCCTGGGTACAAAGCAGGCCTTATGGATCCCAGCTCCAATGCATAATGTGACCTCAGGCAAGCTACTTACCCTTTCTCAGCTTCCATCTCTCACCTGGAAAACAGTGATAATAATACCTCTTACACTATTGTGCATACTTGTCACACAGTAGACAATAAATAAATCTCCTCCTTTCTGACTTTGCACGGATGTCCTGCTGATCATGGCCTTTACCATCCCCCATGAAGAGCCCATGCAGATTCTTACTTCTGAGCACTTGATGACTCCACTCTCTCTAAAAGGAACACCAGCCTTCTATTCTACACCTCTATCAAATGACTGTGGTTCTCCTCCAAAACACTGGAGAAGAGACACCCTCCTCCAGGAAGTCTTCCTAGATTGACTCTGTCTGCATCCAGTCACACTCTTTTTCAGTCTCCCAGCAGGAAAGAGAAAACACACTCAGATGATTTATTAAATTCCGAACAGAATTAAATAATGAAACCATTTACAGAAATATGGCTAGTGCTCGAAAAACCACTATGGGAAATCAAAGCCCCAAAGATTAACAACAAGAAGAAACTATATCTACCCCTTTCCCTAAAGAGAATGGTTTTCTGGAGACTGGTCAGAGCTAGAGGCAGGGTGGAACTGGCCAAACCCAAGTAGAAGCCAGAGGCCGGGAGCCTAGGAGATGGAGTGCAAGTCAGCCACTGTGGCCCCAGAGCACAGGACAGAGAAGGGAAGGGAATAGATCTGAGCTGAGGGTGGGGAAATGACTGAAAAATAAAGCATACCTTTATTATTCTGGTTCCTCCATTAGGCTCCAATATAGTTATATGTTCCCCACAAGCCTTAATCCATGTCTTCTCTTTTTTTTGGATTTCCCTCTGGATGCAGAGAATGTACCATTTATTGAGTACCTACTATGTGCCAAGCATGGAACCTCATTTACTCCTCACAACAATCCTGTAAAATCTCATAGTTTGAAGCTAAAGAAACTGAGGTTCAGAGAAGATCAGAGTCTCGCCAAAGATCACTCAATCAATCTGACTTTAGCCCTGACTGTGAAGCCAGCAATTCTGTGTCACAAGATGCCATGATTTTTGTGAAAGAGTGCCAGCCCTGCCTCCCTCCACCGTGGCCAACTACCTTGCAGGCTTTGTTCAAGCCTTTATTATTTGTTCTGTCTGCCCAGAGTTGGTTAATGGAATCCACTCAGCACTCAAATCTGAACCCAATATTAGATGCACCCCAACCCGAAGCCTATATTAGATGCACCCCCACAGATAGACACTTTGTGTGGTTATTTGTCCTATTATCATCTCCCTGAATTGTGTCAAATGGGCCAAACCAGTCACATCTTTCTTCTGCAACTTCACTTCCATGGGCCGGACACCAGAACAAAGCAAGGCATGATTTGCCTCTGGCACGAGGGCTCACGGTCCAGCCTGCAAAGGGAGGAGAGAAGGCAGGGATCCGACTTTCAGCCTCAGAAATAAGAGGAAGTTTCTGCCTCCCACTCTGATTCACAAGGTGATGATCTCTTACACAAGAAAAGAAAAAGGAATTAAGAGGTAGGGCAGTCAAAAAAAAAAAGACAAATGTCCACTCTGAGGTCATTTAAAGTCTTTTAAAATTAATCAAGATTCCCATCTCCATGGAAGATTTTTGGAGCATGGTTCTGCCTGAAGTGGGGAAAAAGAGGGGATGGGCCAAGGGACCTCTCTGGCTTTCATCGTATGAGTTCTGTGTGCTGGCATGCTCACCGGCTAACTCAGAAACAGAGTAAAGTGGCAGCGGCTTGCTATTTTCAACATGAACACAAAACAGATCTTGAAAAGCCATATTGTCCATCTTCCTGCCACTGAACACCGCATCAGCTTTCCTAGCTCCCATGCTAAGGTTCTTGCCTGTCTCACCATGCTTCCTTCTGTCTAGCTTACATCTCTCATGCTGCGGTACAGGCAGCCCATTTCCTCATTTCACAGCCTCATGGAGATGGAGAACAGCTGGTGCTTGATCCTCTGGAGAATAACTTTACAGAGGTTTGTTTTAGTGGAAACACCAGAGTCCTGAGGAATTTTTCCCTTTGTTTGAAAATGAATGACTTCCTTTTAGGTCTGCTCTGAGAGGCTTCCACCTGAGTTGTGGTAACTTCAAAGGCTCCCCACATTTTTGTGCCAGAGGCCAGAGGCCAGCTGGGGCCTCCTCCTGCGGCTTCTGCCCAAGACTCTGCAATCTCAGCCTCAAACCAACCGCTCAGCATCCCGGGAAGGGTCCCGTGCACATGTGTGATGGGCATAGGTGCCTGCGTTTGCACATGTGTTGGCTTGTATTTAGGAGCGGGCGTATGTATCTAAAATATATTGCTCTCCTTCCGTTGTTAAGAATCAGCCTTGGGAAGCAAAGAGACAAGGGGAGACAGCATTCAGCTAGAGCCTTGCATCTTCAGTTTCAGTTTGTAATAAATATTTATGACCAAGTTACAACAAGTCCTGAAAAAAGAAGCTTTTAATAGAAACACAGATACTTACCATTGTGTTAATTATAGGCCTCTGCTGACCATCCTCATGTATGCTTTATGTTCATTTTTAATGCTCATCAGTGATTCTTTTCTCTTTTAAAAACCGTGCCTAGTGAGCAGCTGTTTCGTATATGCAGCTGGGTTCTGTAACAGACAACTGTTTCTCTTTTAGTAACTTTGTCAAGCTTAATCTGAGATTAATCTGACTGCAGGTGTCAGGTAAGAACAGGACTTTTTTCCCAATGACCAAGAACCCTACAAAGGAGGAGAAAGGGAGGCACTGGAGCAAGTTGGTTAGAAAGCCCAAAGATCAAGGCTTTGTGGGCTGGGCCTGGGAGAGCTGTGTCCATCCTTGCCTGGTGGCAAAGTGACATCACGTTTCCATCATAACTTCCACTCCTGGGTCCACAGAGAAAGATGCTCTGCAGGCAGAATGGCAGAGCATGTTAATTGCCATGCCCCTAGTGACATAAAATCTCACAAACAACCTCCATAAATCACACTCTGACAGCTACTGGGCTTGTCCAACGCTAAATGCAAAAGGACTCCTCTTCTACGTCGAGTCTTAAGTTGTAGGCAGCACCATCACCCTTCAGCAAACATCTGTAGTTCATCTTATCGTTTGAAGATATATATGAGTTTCACTATCTTTTTTTTCTTTAAGTTTTTTGCAGCTTCTGCTCCTTGATTTGTTTGAAGGCCATCTGCTACATATAAAATTGGGGGTGGGGGACAGGCTATAGAAAAGAAACATTTGGGAGATGTACAGGCTGGGAGAAAATGCAAACCCTGCGAATGCTTTAGTCAGCTTTGGTGGGCAGACCGCTTTCCTTTCTGAACGCCCAGCCGCTCAGTGAGTGTTGGACTTGGGACGTCGCTGTCGGCTCTAACTGATGCTTGTTCTGGTTCTGTCTCCTGTTTAGTACTTTACCACGCAGAACAACAGTGCCTGCATTGGTGGTTCCTAGATTTCTCAAACTTTGAAAATACATGCTGGAGTGGACCTCCAAAGCTCCCTAAAGATGCCTCGTGAACTGCAAGGATTAAAAGGGGCACCCAGGAACCTTGGGTGATGTTTCACACAAGAATACAATGAAGCCCCAGTCTCAGAAGTGTCTGTCATGACATGAAGTTACCACAGGGGGGTAGAAGTTGTGCAGTTGCCTGTTTTCACTTGAGCAAGCGTCCTTCCCTAAGAAGCAAAGGGAAAAAGAAACCAGGTTCTTTTTTGTACATAATGGCAGCAAGAGGCTTCCTGCACCGTCTGCCCAAATGGAAGTGTCTAAGCTAAACTGGCTTCATGGAGGCACCAGCTGTGTAAACATTCGACCTCTGAAATCATTGCCACCCCCAGTCATGCCCAGCCGGGTTTCCTCAGCCCTAACATGGGCCAGGCAGCCCACATCGCCCAAGTCTCAGGAGTTACCATTCCACTCGCCAGGAAAGTAGCTTAAAGGATGTATTGGATGGCCGGAGTGGTGACCATTAAAGCAGAGCTGAAACAGTGATGATGACAGAGATTTCTTCATAGCACCAGCTTTCCCTTCACCCTGGAAGAGTCTGTCCTTATTATGTCGACAAAAGAGGCTTTTATAAATCCCAAAGCTTCCGAAGGCAAGTTTCATTTCCCCATCCTTCCCACAAAGGTCCAAAATGCTTTCATAAAATTGATCAAACTTTTGTTGTTATCATCATTAGAAAAGTGGTGTGAAGCTCCAGCTCGGTCCTTTGTGTGGTTCTCCTGCTTTTATTTCTTCCACAGTGCTCTGGCATGCAGCCACACACAAAAAAAGCTCAAGCCATGCATTGAGCCACAGGTTTTTAAGGCGCATTTGAGGCTTTGCTCCTGAAAATATCAATTAAAGTATCATCGACTTTGTTTAGGTGTTCAGTGGAAGGCCCTTCTCCAGCTAAGTTCTCAGAGTCCGGCTAGGCACCCAGACAGGTCTGACTTTGCCATGTGTCTTTGCCCATGGTGAGAAGGCAGTGTGGGGCCACAGTGGCCCCTTTCATGTAACAAGGGGCTGTCACTATCCCTACTTCCCATTTGTCCTCACTCCCACCCCCAACAAGGCCTGTGAAAACCCAAAGCAAGTAATCATGGACATTCCTTGAGTGACAATACAAATTTACTCAACTCTGTCAAGCCCACTGATTTACGTGACAGAGAAAATTTTACCTGAACAACAAAAAAAAGACTTTCTTGTCAGTCACCTTCTACAAGCCTAGAAAAGAAACTTGCTTGGACATGGTTCCATAGTGTAGCGGTTAGCACGTCTGCTTTACACGCAGAAGGTCCTGGGTTCGCGCCCCAGTGAAGGCATGGTCCATGGTTTACTGCCATGTCACCCTAAACAAGCCCAATGTCCAATCTCGGAAGCTAAGCAGGGTCGGGCCTGGCTAGTACTTGGATGGGAGACCACCTAGGAAGACCAGGTGCTCTAGGCATAAATAATAATTATAATAAAGAAACTTGCTTGAAGTTATTAGCTGCTTGGTGGAGAATTGCAGGAAAGTTGCTTAAGAGTTGATTCCAGGGCTACAGTAACTGTTCCTTCCTCCCTGCCAGAGCCGTGGTTTCTCCACAGCTGCCTGCGAAACACTTGTGTTGTTCCGCGATTACCATATGATTTGTTGGTGCACTTTCATGCAGAAATGCCTGCATCTGTTGAGGTCGGCAGCGCTACCTTCTTGACAGTTCCAGATGTTGTGAAGATGAAATGCCTCCCACCTGAGGAACTGTGCAACTAGGAGCCCCGAAAGGTGTTCTGAATACAGTTTAAAAAGGCATCCGTCTTAAAATAATTTCAACATCTCACTCGTCTATTTATAAGCCTTGTCAGATGGGTTTTTTGGGCCCTCTCAGACAATTTTAAGGGGCTCAATTTTACATCAAGATACTTTAACCAATGAAGTTCCAAACCTTTGCCCTGTTTCTTTCTCCACCTGGGCCCACCCATTCAACCTGCCTCCCAACACCGTTGATATCTCTTTATATTAGGCTTTCCGCCGAAGAGCCTTCACGTCTTTCTGTCAGGTACACCACCAGGAACAAGGTTTGGCATCAGAAGTGGGTGGAACAAGCCTCGTATCACTAGCCTGCATTGACTCAAGATTCATGGGTAAAGAGGCAACAAAAGGCCCCTGGGCCAGGCCCCACTTCTCCCTCAGACCTCATAACTCACCACACTGTTGACCTCTTAAAACAGAAATGAGACTTGACCTTCACTGGGATTTTGGAGTGGCGTCTGAGCTTGACTTTCCACGGGTGAAAACCTACGCCCAAGACCACCCTTAAGAAGACCATTCTCTCGAGTCCTGCTGCAGAGTGATGTTATTCTTGGGTCATTTAACTTCACTCTCAGGGAAGAGTCGAGAACGGTGCTAAGTTGTAAATCACTCTCCTCTGGAATGGATTTGCGCCAGAACTGATCGGCCTGAGCATTCCTGCCTTGCTTGACATGGTAAAGAGATTATGGTATGTAAAATTCAGCTAAACATAGCTTGTTTCGATTTCCTACTTTCCTGGTTGTCTGTCTCGCTATGAAAGGTTAAGACCTAGAAGGGAAATAGCATTCGTGCTGCAGAATCGCCCTCACTCCAGGACAACGCTTCCCACTCAGATGGGCTCCATATATGGTGATCGTGCAAGGCTCAGGCCCATCAGATAGATATTCATAAACTTGGCCTTCAGGTGCTTTTAATTGGTCCTTCTTCCAAAGTTACAAAAACAGGCAGGAGGAAACATGGAAGCCGGCCTGTGGTGGTCTGAGCTTATAAATCCCTGTTCACATGTTTGCCATTTCACACAGTTGATGTTAGCCTTCCCTTTTCCCTGATGTCATTAGCTGAGTCCTAAAACTGCAGTGACATCATTTTAGTTGATCTGGTTGCCATACTGGGGACTCTTCCTGAAATTCTTTAACCCATGTAGATAATGGTTTCTCAAGCTATAGTCTCTTGAGAGTTCATCTTGTGGTCCAAATATTCTATTTAAAAAAAAAAAATAGATTTTTCTCACTTCTTCCTGCCCACTGGACCACATATGTCCACCAGCCTACAGATAAGAACAGTAATGTACACTGTCAGCAACACTGTCTTCAAGTCCCCAAAGCCCTTTTGCTTTCTGTAATGTAAATTTCCAGCATGTGAAAGATCCAGAGTGCTCACCTGAACAGACGTGGTGGATGGCACCCAGGTTGCAGAATCAGATCAGCAGATGAGAAGGCCAGGGTGCCATGACAGAGGAGCCCACATTCCACCCCTGTGTACACAGAAAAAAGGGGAGCTGCCAACGTGGTCAGATACATGTGAGCAAAAACATCTGTAAATTAACAAATCTCAGCCTCTGGGGCCATGTCATGCATTCGTCTTGCTGAATAAGGTAGAAGCAGAAAGTAATTTTGATTAGTGTTCGTCTAAGTTATTTATCATAGGAAATTACAGAACTGCATTGGAGGCCGGGATTTTTACCCAGCTATTCTGGATTCATTGTTGTGATTTCACAGTGGAATAGCAGACGGGTCAGGCAGCAAAGTCTCCTTGGCCTGGTTTCTGTGCTGTGGTAGTCAATATAAAAGGGAACCTGAAAGAAAGTATTTTAACATTATAAGTTCAAGAAAACAAACTGAAAGAGAGTCCCTCTTTCATTTTTCCCCCACGCTCCAGGAGCGAGTAGTAAAATTTCCCCCTCTACAAGACAATCAATACACCAGCAGTCCTAACTGAAAGAGCAATTTCCTCTCCTGCAAGATACGAAAGAAATAATCGAATCGAAAGGCTTACTAAGGGTGATGGAATCTTTATTAATTATTATTTAGAATTATTAGAATTATTTTTCATAAAAGGAAATAGCTCTGAATTAAGATAAAAATTCTAAAAATGGCATTTATAAAAACTTATAAATCTGTGCATAAATATCTTTGTACATGTCCGTGCATTTTTTTTGCAAACAATTCATTTCTCTATTTGTACTGCCACTTATATACCACTTCCCCAGTTATCTGAGGCAATAATATTTGCAACTTTGTGAATTTTCTAGGATCTGTACAGAGGATAAGAAATGCTCAGGAGTGCCTTTCAAAGCATGGAATGTATTTTTTAAATAGGTAAAGTCAGACCAACAAATCACTGGCAGCTTCACTTCTGATCCACATGCTTTTGTTAGAAAAGGAGAACTCATCTACAGCCATGCCACCCTGAACAAGCTCGAGCCTGTCTGATCTCAGAAGCTAAGCAGGGTTGAGCCCGGTTAATACTTGGATGGGAGACCACCTAGAAAGATCAGGTGCTGTAGCGTAAAAAATAAAAATAAGGGATTATAAGGTGACAAGGTCCTTGCAATCTGTGAAGTCAACCAAGGGTTGCCTGGCCTAAAAAAAATAGAAAAAAGAAAAAGAAAAGGAGAACCCAGAGGATCTAGTACTTGTACTTGAAGCACTTCAAGAGGTTGTCTTTTTTCCCCTCTTCAGAGGCTTCTCTTCACCTTCTTGCCTCTGTGCAGTGGGCAGGCCTGCAGCACAATGGGAGGCAGTCAGACCAGGGCTCAGCCCAGAACTGGAGGAAGTGGTCGATGCCCTTGTCCTTCACAGAGCTGGGCTCCCAGGACACAGTGAGGCCAGACAACTTGATGCAGCTATGGAAGACCAAAATTCCTACAGTAAAGCAGAAAAAAAAGAATTTTTTTTTTTTAAATCATTTTAGCAATCTCAGCTGGCTGCCTTAAAAGAAGCTGTCATTCTAGGTTTCCAGAATGGCTATACCGACAGGGCTAAATCAGAGGTCTTCAAACCCTACCATTTGGCAAAAACCCAAAAAACTTGGTCAGCAAGCTACATGACTTCCCGATACTTCCAAGTAACTCTTCTTTTATTTGAAAATATCTGAATTTGTCATCACTAGCATAGAAATGTTTCATGTCATTCAGATGAAAACACAGTTTTACTACACATCGATACTGATTGGACATATTACAAACAAGCTTCTGAAGGACAAAGAAGCCTCCTTTCTCCACAGGAAACACGAATATCTCTATGGCCACAACAACCCCAGGGGCTTTGGAAATATCGGGAAGCATGCAGTAGACTCTACTTATCCCCTAGATATTTGTTGTTGTGGAAGCAGCATCCAGCTACTGCCGCCGAAGGAAGTAGCCTCAGAACTCATCCCATTTCCTTATCAGTCTGAGGACAGAGTGCCCATAGTGCCTAGCCCAGCGCTGGCCCAACGTGGGCACACAATCAATTCTTAGCAATCCAGCATTTGTGAAAAACCGATGTTTGCATATAGGCAGTGGCTTCCCAGGGACCGTGCTTCGGGCTTGATGTGCCCTGTTTGGTAGGAGCTGAGCAGCTGCCTCCCAGAGCCTGGGGATTTCTCAGTTGGTGGAGGAAATCCTCTAAGTATTTACAACCATTTAACAACTGCCTATATCCTGACAGTTTTACCTCCCAAATATCTCTTGATACATGCCTCTCAGCTTCCACACCACCCAAACCTCTGACCCCTGCTTATGCTGATCTCCCTGCTTCTGCCTTGGCCCTGTGAAAGTCCCTTCTCCAAGGGACAGCCAGAACAATCTCTTTACAATGCAGATCTGCTTAAAAATATTCAGTTGCTCCCCACTGCATTCAGGATCAAGATCAAAAACCTTACAGGAGCCTCCTAGACCCAGTATGACAGAACCCTTGCCTCATCTCAGCCACCCTCTCTGGGTCCCATCTGTCCTGGCTTTCAGGCATTTGCTCAGGGCCTTTGCACATCCTGTTTCCTCTTCTTAGGGTATGCCTTTCCCCCAACCTGGCCTTCATCCCATGAGCTCCTGCTAGCCCTTCAGCTCTCAACTCAAATGCCATGTTCTCAGAAAGGCCCTTCTTTGCAACCTCTGACCAGGTCAAATCTCTACTCTTCTCCCACACATACACATATATATCCCTACAGCAGCTCCTGTGGTGGCCTTCAAAGCATGGGCCCACTTATGAGATCATTTGATGATTAGGGGTTTTCCTTCTAGACTCTAAATTCTTTGAGGTAGGGGCAGAGCCAGTCTTGCTCAATATTGTATCCCCAGTGCCTAAAGAACCTAACATATAATAGGTGATCAATAAAAATGGATTGAATGAAAGAATAACTGGCAGATTGACAGGCAAAAGGAAGGAGAGAATGAAAGAAGAATACAAGGGTGGGAGGGAGAGAGGCCAGCTAGCTAGAGGGACAATAACAACCAACTCCAACAGTACCTGAATTCCTCTCTATTTCTAAATCCCCAAATCCATGAATCTCATATACTTTTAAATGAATCAAGACTGCAGTGCTGCAAAGATGAAGAGAAAATGAGAGGAATGGCTGGTTCTTCCATGATTACTAGTTCATTCATTCATTCATTTATTCATTCCATAAACACTATGTGCAAGGCCTTGTGTTTATTGCTAGGGAGAAACATGTGGCACAGAGGACGGGAGTTAGTAGATCTTGCTGACCCCACATCACCATGGGATCTTGGTCAAGACACACACCTACTCTGAGCCTCAGGTTCCCTCTCTTTAAAGTGAAGAGGCTAGATGAACCCTAATGACTCTTCCAAAGCTAATATTCTGTTGCCCCAAACTGGACGATGATGATGATGATGATGATACTCCTGCTGATAAACATTATTAATTGAGCACGTAGCCAGTACAAAACACTATGTTATCTCCTTTGATTCTCAACTACCATATGAGAGAGGTATAATTATCCACGACTATTTTATAAATAAGGGAAAATAAGGCAAAAGAAGTCAGCTGATTTGCCAATGGTCAACAAACTGGAAATGACAGGACTGAGATATAAACAAAATCCCCCTGACTCTGCTACATCACCTCAAACTGCATGATACCTTCTAACAACACAGGATGTAGCCTAGTCTTGGGGACATGGAAGGGGTTGAGGCACATTTAGTTCTGTGTTTAGAGGAGGCAATTTTCTCTACTCTGGGTGAACACCTTGCCTTGGTCCCTGAGAGACCTCTCAGCTGAATGCATGGCTGCTTAGGAAGATTTGGAGATCACAGGCGAAAAGACAGCACTCTCCTGACCAAGGTTCTCAGCTGCTATGGACACTCTCCAGGGGCCAATTTCTTCCAAGAGGCAGCTTCCTAATCCAGACCTTCACTAGTTGCCTTCTTCCACGTGAGGCCATGAATTAGAAGCTCTCTAGCCAGATATGATTGCAAATAAATTTGATTTGGCCTCACACCTTCCAAAAATTGGAAGATTTAAATAAAATTCCAGATACGTGACTTAGAAAAATCAGAAGAACTGGCTACAATCCCAGTTGCCAAAAATCAGTTGGAGCTGAATAGGAACAGCCTTTTTAGATGGGCATGCTTTCTCTGGTTGACCACTGGCCCCACCACTCCTTATTACCTCACAAGAACCCTTTTGCAAGGATTTGAGCTTGACAGGCCCGCACCTCAGAACCAAATACAAAGACTTTAGCCTAGCATTCAAAGCCTTTGCAACCTAAAGCCTGACTTCCCTTTCCAGCCAGCCTAAAGCCCCTGCTGTCCATCTTTCTGGTGTGGGCTCACCCTGCAGGCCCATTTCATTTATACCTCATCCAAAGAGTCTTCCCTCTCTTCCCACTCCCCAACATCCCTACTCCCAGTTACATTTGATTTTGTGTCATTTTTTTTTTCATTTGCTTGTGGCTTAACTGCTCAGCTTCAGTCTGCATCAAAAAAAAAAAGAAAAGAAAAGTGGCTATCCTGGCTTTTTCAGATCTCTACACAAAAGAGCTACTAAGGAAGGACATGTTGCCTGGTTCCTTGATGCTAACTAAAGCATTGTCCACAGACCAACCACTTTAGCATTGCCTGGGAGCCTGTCAGAAAGGCAGAATCTCAGGCCCCACCCCACACTGCTAAATCCAAATTTGCATTTTAACAAGACCTCCCAGGGGAACAGTATCACTTTAAAGTTTGAGAGGCCTTGGCCTCTCAAGTTGAGGAATTGCAAGTCAAAGCCAGGCTCAACTGTAGGACAGGTACTGGCCCCTAAGCCCAACCCCATCCCTTCCCCAGGCAGCTCAGTTTCTCCCATGCACAGCAGCAGATTCACAAGCAGCCATGCTCTGAAGAGGTCAGAATGAAAGGGTTCAGGGTTCCAAGGGCAAAGACACAACTACCCTTCACACAGTGAGAGTTTCCCCTGTGTGTGGTTTCAGGTCAGCCTTCTTTCCCCAAACTGAACCTTCCCTGCTCTACTGCAATGGGAGGGAGTTGGATTAGACGCGAAGGGAAATGTTCTGTCACCCAATGTGGTCATGAGCTATGAGAGGCACCCAGGCACTCTTGGGGTTGCCGAAGATGGCATAGCACAAAGGACACCGTGTGCTGTAGAAAAGAAATAGAATGCTAAACAGAAACATGAGACCATCGTTGCCATAGTGTAATCACATTATTGCAATACCATCTCTCCCGATGGAGGTAAAAGTTCAATTCTGTCCATCAATCCAATAACTATTTATGAGAAAATGCTGTGTTCCAGGCACTATTTCTAGGTGTGAGGCAGCAGACAAAAATCCATAACTGTCATGAGGCTTATAAACTAGTGCAGAGAGACAAACAGGAAACAAAACACAGGAGAGTAAGAAATGTTTATGCGCATGCGCATGTGTCTTTTGCGGTGGGAAAGCGTTCTAATGGCCTGAGAAGCTTACATCTTACAGTGAGAGACAGGTGAACTCGGTTCTGTGCTAAGCGCTTTGCACGTGTTAACTCGGCTGGTCTTCATAGCAATCCTAGAAGGTAGGGTGGTACCTCAGGACAGCCTCGAAGATGGCCCCAATACTCCCACCCATCAGTGTGGGCTGCACCTGGTAACTAGCTTCTAACAAACAGAATATAGTGCAAGTAGTGGGGTGTCCACCTGGGGAAGGGATGGGGTTGGGCTTAGGGGCCATTACCTGTCCCACAGTAGAGCCTGGCTTTGGCTTGCAATTCCACTACTGAAAAACAAAAAGACTGACTTCTGATTCTCTTTCTCCACCACCACCCCCTTTTCTATCTGCCTCACCCAGGAAGAAGCAAAGCTGCCATTGTGAGGAGCCTTATGTGGTAAAGACCTGATGTCTTTTGCCAACAGCCACGGAGGGCTCGAGGCCACCAACAGCCTTGTCAGTCAATTTGGAAGCAGACCTTCCCCTGTGGAGCCCTGAGAAGACTGCATTCCCAGCCCATACCTTGATAACTTTCTTGCCAGAGATTGATAGTCAGAAGCACCAGTGAGCAATGCCCGTACTCCTACCCCATGGAAACTGTGACATTAGAAATGTTTGTTATTTCAAGCCACCACATTTTGTGCAATTATTTACACAAAAGGCAATACATTATCCAAGCAAGTATAATTATTACTTCCATTTTTTATACACAACACCCAAGCACAGAAGGGTAAATTAACTCGCCCCAGGGTACTGAGCAAGTAATTGTCAGAGCCAAGATTTGAACCCTGGCAGTCTGGCTCCCAGAGCCTATATGATTAAGTATCACAGAATGCTTCCATAAAATCACATTTGACTAAAGTATCTGTTTGTACATCTGCTTCTCTCATCTTTCAGGTCTGTGTTCCTGGCACCTGGTCAGTGCCCAGCTCACAGGACTTGCTCTGCAAAAATTGGCTGAG